GATAGTTTATATTGGAAAGGTTTCAAAGACGATCCTAGATGTTGTGGCAGCCGATGTGATAATAACTATTATTTCATATACAGTAAAAACCTGTTATATGGGCGATGGCGTCCTCAACTCAAATTGTCTGGATTAATAACTGTCATGAATAACGAATCATTGTTACACCAGGTGAATATGATGCCAGTATCAGAGGCTAGCACAAGTCCCCCAGAACACTTTACAATCGTGATGTTGTACGATTCCAATTAGGTTGTACGATTCCGACTCTATCATGAGCAAAGTGTTATGAATCACTATCAAATAGTGATGATACCAGGTGATCGAGACCCGTAAAGATTCCGGGGTAGAATAGTTCTTCAGCAACCCATACTTGCTATAAAAGGCAACTATGCTTGTCGTAAAAGGCGACTAACGGGATCGGGTGGTCAGGCTCGCTGACTTGGTTGATACATGTCATCGATCCCAATTGCGTAGATCGATGCTCATGATGTCAATCACTGGATTGTCTGGTCCAGACTCGATTATTTGACAGACCGCCGTCATATAGCTGGAATATAGCTGAGTGCGGCGTTAAACAACAAGGAAACAAACAAACCCGGTGGTCGACAAAAGGTGAGCATATCCTGCCCCAACCAAGGCCATCGTCACAAACACATGCAAAGTCATTTGTTCAATAATGTGTCACCAATGAGTTTATACCCAAAGACAATGCCGAACGTCCTATTTCTAGATAGTCTCCGTGGTCTAGTGGTAGTGCGTCCGCGGAGAGCGGAAGATCCGGGGTTCGATCCCCGACCGCGTCGTACTAAAAGACGTTAAAAGATGGTACTTGCTGTTACCCTGCCTGGCGCTCGGCATTAAGGGGCTAAAACAAGGACTGGTCGGCTCGGAGTCAGGATAATGTGTCTGGGTGGGGTTCATGTTAAGCTGTGGCATGATATATCTGTTGACTAGCACTATAAAATCGGCATTAGACCGAACTAGTACAAGCACACACACACACACACACACACACACACACACACACACACACACACACACACTGGAGGATGTATAACGCATGTGTCTAGTTTAGGCCTAATAATCGTCTGGAGGATGTATAATGTATATGAATAGCTTATGTCTATGTCTTATGCCACTCGTGCCCCCATCTAGACCTCAGAAGGAATGAGCATAGTACTGAGATAGATTGAACATTAAACAGATGATAATTGGGGTATCTTGTCAGTATGTGTGATTATGTCTTTGGTATTTTGTTGTAACAAAGTAAAGTCTATGGATCCTTAGCTTCATTAACATGTTTTTACATTACGTTTGAAGAGAACAAACACAAACCATTTCCATAAAGAGACATCACAATTAAACAGTAACATGAGGTTGACTTTTATTTTAAACACATCCTCCGTGGTCTAGTGGACAGAGCATCTACCCGTAAAGTGCAATGTCTTTATATATTGGCCATATTTCTAACTCAGTATAATGTGTCTGAATGGCATTCATATTAAACCGGGGGCACGGGTGGCCCAGTCGTCTAAGGCGCCGCGATTCGCTGTGCAGAGTTGTGTCCCTTGGACACGCCAGAAACCTATGATTGTGGGTTCGAATCCCGGTTCGCCCCGATTATGTTTCTAGGTTTGTCAGCACAATACCCATGCTCGAGGGTTTCACCGAAGTGGTAAACGTCTGAGGCCTGCATCACTTCGGGCTTTCCTCCCACATTAAGCTGACACGCCGTGATATAACTGGAATAATGTTAAAAGCTGCGTTAAACCCAACTCACTCACTCATATTTAACCACGCATGGTATCACAGTGGGCGAGCACTGTCAAACTGGCATACCTCTGGGCTACTACAAGCAGAAACACACATACGTGTATACACTTAGACAGATGAATACAATACTATCTTTAACCCCATTTGAACTCAGCTTATCGGAAAGTACGAAGTGATATCAGGTATGTAAATTGAGTCTGGACCAAAAAAGCCAGTACCTGAAAACACAAGCAACGATCCAGGCCGAGTCTGCGGAAATTGACCACCCGACCCATAATAGTTGACTCTAATTATAGACCCATGAATTCTCGTTATAATATGACCATGTCGGATTACTTGGGGAGATAACTGTCGAAAAGCAAAATCTGCAAATCAAATAATTTTGGCGAAGGGAGGACTGACTTAACGATAGTGCAAGGTTCTTGTTGAATAGTTTAATTGTGGTGTTATGTTACATATAGCTTGATTTACAAGGCATACAGGTAATCTCGTACATTCAATCATAGTTAAGTGACAGAACAATGACGTAATAGTCCTGTGTACATTAAACCCCGCATATACTGGACGCCTTTACAATCCATTTAACATAATATTGCAGAAGATCTCCAAAAGTGCAAGACGTCTATAAAAAGACCAAGGTTATTTCACACCAGGTGTATACGATGCCAGTATCAGAAGCAATCACAAGTCCCACAGAACACTTTACAATCGTGATAGCAGCCTCTAGAATATTTTTGAAAGAAAACGTAAATTGCCCCTGTTTCACAAAATGCATCATAATCAAATAATACATATCTCAGAGATATATTGACATACACAGTTGGTTCTTATACAACCTACAAGCCAGCTCTTATATGATATATTTTCAAGGACAGCCAACACCCAAGAAACACACATGCCCTGGTGTATTTATCAAATGTTTTGAGAAGGAAAATCTAGGTAAGGCATGGTGATAATGTGTTAAAGGATAGTTTATATTGGAAAGGTTTCAAAGACGATCCTAGATGTTGTGGTAGCCGATGTGATAATAACTATTATTTCATATACAGTAAAAACCTATTATATGGGCGATGGCGTCCTCAACTCAAATTGTCTGGATTAATAACTGTCATGAATAACGAATCATTGTTACACCAGGTGTATACGATGCCAGTATCAGAAGCTAGCACAGGTCCCACAGAACACTTTACAATCGTGATGTTGCACGCACGCACGCACGCACGCACGCACGCACGCACGCACGCACACACACACACACACACTTGTCTGAAGGATGTCTAACGTATGTGTATAGCTTACGTCTAATTATTGTCTGAAGGATGTCCAATGTATGTGTCAAGTTTACCCCTAATAATCGTCTGGAGGATGTATAATGCATATGAAAAGCTTATGTCTAACAATTGTCTGAAGGATGTATACGTACGTGTCTAGTTTACGCCTAACAATTGTCTGAAGGATGTCTAACGTATGTGTATAGCTTTTATCTGATAATCGCCTGAAGGATGTCTAACGCATGTGTATAGCTTATGTCTGATAATTGTCTGGAGTATGTATAATGTAGATGTACAGCTTTTGTTTAACAATTGTCTGGAGGATGTTTAATGTAGATGTGTAGCTTTTGTCTGATAACCGCCTGGAGGATGTATAATGTAGATGTGTAGCTTTTGTTTAACAATTGTCTGAAGGATGCCTAACGTATGTGTATAGCTTTTGTTTAACAATCGTCTGGAGGATGTATAATGTAGATGTACAGCTTTTGTTTAACAATTGTCTGAAGGATGCCTAACGTATGTGTATAGCTTTTGTTTAATAATTGTCTGAAGGATGCCTAACGTATATGTATAGCTTATGTCTGATAATTGTGTGAAGGCTGTATAACGTATGTGTATAGCTGATGTCTGATAATTGTCTGAAGGCTGTATAATGTAGATGTATAGCTTATGTCTAATAGTTGTCTGAAGGATGTCTAACGTATATGTCTATTTTACGTCTGATAATTGTCTGAAGGATGTCTAACGTATGTGTTTAGTATGTTTCATGTACATATGATTACTGATATATGGCCTCTGCTCGAATAATGTGCCGCATTTCTGTTTTGACTAGTCTGTTCTTCTCGGACCGATAGCGAAATACTATGTTTCTTCCTTTCTAGTAGTTCTTCAAGGTAAATGTTCTCTCACGTCGTTATAAGCTATGAGTCCGGGCAGAGAATGGTTTCGTTTTTCCAGAATATCAACAGCTAGCTTCAATGCCTGTTCACTGGATTTGGCCATCAACGCTGTGGTCAAGCCTTTCGTCCAGGTCTCGTGAAATGACGTCAGCTTTCGCGCAGGATTGTCCAGCATGACGTGGGGGATTCCGCACAGTGTGGAGAGGATATGTCCGTGCAGACGGTCAGTAATGACCACTCGCCCTCTCTGAAGAAACATGGCGCCAGTACTGGTGTGAAGAAAGGCATTCTCCATGGACGTCTCGCCTTTAGGTGATATGAATGATGTCCAGTCTGCCACGTGTACAGTGTAAGGCCCCATTAAGGACGGGATGGTGTAGTTGGGTGTTTCATCATCAGCCCGTCGGAGCCACAGTATGTCGTATATTGGAGACATAAACCTAGGGATAGATCCTATTTGAAACACGATGTCTGGCACTAAGAACAGCGTTTGCCTCGGAAAGAGTTCTCGTCCTATAGCAAAGGACTTCCTGTCTCTTAAAAGGAATGTAATATTTGGATACTTTTGGTAAATTTCTTTCACATACACCATTCTGTGCGCGGGTAGGTGACCTCCTTTTAGCCATATACTTTGTGGGAACATCAAAATGTTAAAATGCTCATAAAAACGGCTTAGAATCTGGTCCCGAAGAACGTCGTTTTGTAAATAGCCAATGAGATTGCCTCCTCCGTGCAGCAACACAACTGTGTTCTCTCTACTGTAGTTTCTGCTTAACGAGAGGGCTTTATCCAGGACCCCACTTTCCTCACACACACACGTGTTACAGTAGTATACGAGATGAATGCCCAGCCGTCTCAGGAGATAAACTTCGCCGACGGTTATGGCAGGGTCTCCTTTGTTCTCAAAGGCGTTAATGTCAAACAGAAATGCATATTCATAATTTCTTAGAAGAGTTTGGAATATGTTGACCTGCACACGTTGCATCTCAGTGATAAGATCATTGCTTTTGTTTAAGAAAGGTAGGTAGAAATCTGTCTTGTTAGGATGATCCACTTAATTCCATTTCTGGTAGGTTCGGAAAGCCTTTGGAGATGGTTGTTTGTTTGGACGGACGTGAGTGATGTTGTCTAGCCTGTTGAGGACAGACATCCAATGAGAGGTGTTTATTTTTAGCTTTTCATAAGGCTCCCGTTTGTCTGGTTGAACCGAAAGACTTAGTGTTGTGTATACTCCGCAACTTAGTGCCAGTAGAAGAAACAGTATTTGCTTTCGATACTTGAGACCTGAAAGTGCCAATAAAAAAAAAGAGACGTTAAAACAGTTCTTTATAATGAAGTAAATATTAACCATTGACATGCTATCTTCATATTAAAAAAAAAATGTAAAAAAAAATGACCGCCTCCGTGGTCTTGTGGTAGAGCGGAAGGTGCAGGGTTCGATCCTGGGCCGCGTCATACAAAAAGACGTTAAAAGATTGTACTTGTTGTTACCCTGTCTGGCGCTCGGCATTAAGGGGCTAAAACAAGGACTGGTCGGCTCGGAGTCAGTATACTGTGTCTGAGTGGGGTATTCATGTTAAACTGCGGCTTTTTTGTATCTCAGTGAGCTAGCACTATAAATCGGCATCAGTCCGGACTAGTACAAGCAGCCACACACACACATACACGTGCATGCACGTCGCTATATAAGTGCAATAATCTTGGACGCGACGTTAAACCCAATTTCACCTCACCTCATATTAAAAATGATTTTTTATGTTATGAAATCGCAATTATTACAGACGCTGACCTTTCTCTGGTACTTAATCGTTTCCTTTACAAGATAGAATCCTGCACGAGGATTGTTTAATGTTTTTTTTGTTAGCATTAGGGGTCCATTTCCAATACAAGGCATAATGACCCGGGACGGTATTCTCTATCGGAGCTATATTATTAGTTATGGTGTCTTTTGTTGCCGTATACGGTGTCATATTAGGTTCGCAGAAGTATTGGGCGAGGCGTCAACTAAAGACACGAAAAGTTTACACTATCTGATAATCCATATCGTACAGGTCTTGTCAAAACGAAAACGTGACACTTTCATTACAACCGTTGACGTTAAGGGTCAAGGGGAGACTACTCTTCAGACCTTAGAGGCCAAACCTTGTTGACAATTGTAACTATAATCATTATCAATAAAGTCACGAACGTGATCTAAAAACATATTAATGTCCTTGCACATCAAATTAATGATATTAAAACACAAAACAGTACCGAATTATGAATTTCGGTACCAGACGTTTCATGTCAAATATGTGAGGTGGGTGTTGGAAAATCCAAGATGGCTGTCACTGACGGTACACGGTGTCATATGAAGTCAGTAACAGCCATTTTTTACTGACGGTATACGGGCTCATATGGGGTTAGTAGTTCTGCTCTCTGATTGGTCAATCTCACTTTGAGGCATAATAAACTATAGTTCACTTGCAAATAAGATCTTCCATGACTGGTGTGTTCTCACAATGTCTTACCTGTTTCAACTCTTAAACCTGTTGAGGTATCCTTCCCCATAGTATATATTCCAAGGCCCAAAACTGCTAAAGTAAGTCCTCCAAGGTTTGAGAGCGACAGGGACCTCGATCCAGCCAACACTAGAAACATCACTACGAGGAGCCGCTTCAGATTGTTAAGGACGGCATGTGTGATAACTGACACCTCCCTAAGCACCACACACGTCGACAGGGACGAGTACAACACGTGAAACTCTGTTGATGACGAAAGAAGGAACACAACATGCATACCAGGTCCGAGTTTATGAATATCCAAAATGGCCACTGACGTCCATGCTAAGAAACTGAAGATCAGTGCGTGGCGTGAACGCACTTTAATTTCACATTCGCCTTTATTTTTTATGGCAATGTTCCTCAAACCAAAACCTAAATTTGACATAAGTGCAAATATTATCCCCGACAGGTGATCGATGTTTTTAAAGGACTGACCAGTGAAAATGATACACCCAATCACGACCAATGGTAGGCTGGTTTGCACCGACACTGGAAGTGATGTTCTGTATACCAATGCATCTAAAAGGGCAGTTGTGATAGGTTCCATGAGTCTGATGGCAATGGTTGAGGAAGCCTCTAAGAATGTCATGCTACAGTTACTACAGAGTGTCCCGACGAGGTGGCCGAGTGCCGGCAGGTGGCGCCTTACACCGCTGGTAGGGGCGTTGTTTTGGACAGCCTGTTTCATCATCAGGAGACAGAGACCCATCTGTGATGATGTAGCCAGACACGCCCAGACAAGGCCGGGGATCCAGGGAACATGTCTTTGTGAGGTTGTCAAGAAACATTTCGTTGAGAGGTGACACAAATATGAAGTGGTTACCCAAGCCAAGTAGGCGACAGGGCCTTTGACGACTGTCTGAAACACACACAAAAAAAAAACATTCGTTTTATTTAGGGCACTTACAGTAATTTAGTGTCTTTATCATGCAACAAGATTGATGTCAAAAATAGATAAACATAGCAAAGTCTCAGTTGAACCTCAGCAGATGTTCAAACTCCACATAATAGTGAGTGGGTGAGTTGGGTTTAACGCCGGTTTTAACAGTATTCCTGTTATGTCACGGCGTGTCAGCTTAATGTGGGAGGAAAGCCCGAAGTGATGCAGGTCTCAGACGTTCACCACGAAACCCACGAGCACGGGTATGGTGCTGACAAACCTAGAAACATAATCGGGGCGAACCGGGATTCGAACCCACAATCATAGGTTTCTGGCGTGCCCATCCAATAAAAACAACAACAAAAACACACCCACCAAAAAACACAAAAAAACGAAACCAAAACCAAAAAAAACAAACCCACTCGTAATATCAAATCACGGTTACTTATTCATAAACCAACATCGGGCTTCCCTCCCACATCAAGATGACACGCCGTGATATAACTGGAATACTGTTAAACAGCGTTAAACCCAACTCATTCACTCACTCACTCAGTCATACACTTGTTCACTTTTCGAAAATGATATAATAAATAATAATAATAAAATTAATAAATAATAATTAATAATTTTGGAAAATGGTTGAAGGACGAATACTTGATTTAGTGTTGTTATGAAATTATAAATAATATAAACTGAATATTGATGTTTATTCACAGCTTTAGGATTCGTATAAACAGTTTCAATCTAGCATTTTTTCTTTGAGTAGATATTTATTCAAAGACACGATTAGACACCATCCAAGGGGAACGGGTGGCACAGTCGTCTAAGGCACCTCGATAGTTGCGTCCCCTGGGCACGCCAGAAACACGTGATCGTTGGTTGGAATCCCGTTTCTCCTGATTATGTTTAGCTGTCCGTTTAAGGCGCCGCGATTCGCTGTGCAGAGTTGCGTCCCTTGGGCACGCAAGAAACCTATGATTGTGGGTTCGAATCCCGGTTCGCCCCGATTATGTTTCTAGGTGGGTGGGTTACTGGTAATTCTACCCTGACATTGAAGAATGCTTGCTTCTGATTGTTTAAAAAGAGGTATCCTTTGCCCTACTGATACCTATTTAAATTAAGCCGTGTGTATGAAAATACCGATTAAAGGACAGCCTATCGATGCATACAACAATGGCTGCCGGTAACCCTTTAGAATATGTCATACGTTCGAAATCAGAACTGCAGCTTATTAGTAAGTGCGTGAGTATGGTTTTTAGCCGCTTTTAGCAATATTCCAGCAATATAACGGCGGGGGACACCAGAAATGGCCCCACACATTGTACCCATACAGCTTATTAAAATCTTGATGAAATCTATTTAAAACCCCACACGATTAAGTAACACACACTGACCACTATGTCAGGGCCACATACTAAATAGTCACAAAAATAAGCAGTCCCCCTCGTTCGTCGTCGACAGCTACAAACGATGGTATTCATCCATACTTAACAATGGTGAGTGAGTGAGTGAGTGAGTGAGTGAGTGAGTGAGTGAGTGAGTGAGTGAGTGAGTGAGTGAGTGAGTGAGTGAGTGAGTGAGTGAGTGAGTGAGTGAGTGAGTGAGTGAGTGAGTGAGTGAGTGAGTGAGTGAGTGAGTGAGTGAGTGAGTGAGTGAGTGAGTGAGTGAGTGAGTGAGTGAGTGAGTGAGTGAGTGAGTGAGTGAGTGAGTGAGTGAGTGAGTGAGTGAGTGAGTGAGTGAGTGAGTGAGTGAGTGAGTGAGTGAGTGAGTGAGTGAGTGAGTGAGTGAGTGAGTGAGTGAGTGAGTGAGTGAGTGAGTGAGTGAGTGAGTGAGTGAGTGAGTGAGTGAGTGAGTGAGTGAGTGAGTGAGTGAGTGAGTGAGTGAGTGAGTGAGTGAGTGAGTGAGTGAGTGAGTGAGTGAGTGAGTGAGTGAGTGAGTGACTTTGGTTTTACGCCGCTTTTAGCAATATTCCAGCAATATCACGGCGGGGGACACCAGAATTGGGCTTCACACATTGTACCCATGTCGGGAATCGAACCCGGGTCTTCGGCGTGAGGAGCGAACGCTTTAACCACTAGGCTACCCGACCACCCCATACTTAACAATGGCATTTTCATTGTTGACATGTTGACCATAACTACAGACAGGGATTGTTCCCCGGGTTCATGTCATTTGTAAACAGCACTGTCACCGTGAAGCCAGGTAGCTTTTCGGGGTGGAGAGATAGTGATTCGTAAGATGTAATACTGTTATATATATATATTTCACACCAACTGCTACATAAGCACCACTTCAAGATACACAAATAAAATGTAAAATGTACCTAAAATCCTTTAAATAAGAAAAGGTTGATGGCGAAATAAACTCGTTCAAGACCTTTTCCCCATTTCCTGTTATTCAATCATCAAAGTTCAATAAGAAGATTTTCAATGATAAATCTATTTGTAAAGCCATATTCTCCGTATCACCAATTCGTTTGTCATACATGTATATTATCACGTTTACTGCCTTTGAGTATATCTAATCTGTACAGTATGTCAAAGGCCGTTCAGTAGGTACCGCCCTGTTGTCATCAGGTCTTGGCTAAAGGCCGTTCAGCAGGTACCGCCCTGTTGTCATCAGGTCTTGGCTAAAGGCCGTTCAGCAGGCACTGCTCTGTTGTCATCAGGTCTTGGCTAAAGACCGTTCAGTAGGCACTGCTCTGTTGTCATCAAGTCTTGGCTAAAGGCCGTTCAGCAGGCACTGCTCTGTTGTCATCAGGTCTTGGCTAAAGACCGTTCAGCAGGCACTGCCCTGTTGTCATCAGTTCTTGGCTAAAGGCCGTTCAGCAGGCACTGCTCTGTTGTCATCAGGTCTTGGCTAAAGACCGTTCAGTAGGTACCGCTCTGTTGTCATCAGGTCTTGGCTAAAGACCGTTCAGCAGGCACTGCCCTGTTGTCATCAGTTCTTGGCTAAAGACCGTTCAGTAGGTACCGCTCTGTTGTCATCAGGTCTTGGCTAAAGACCGTTCAGCAGGCACTGCTCTGTTGTCATCAGTTCTTGGCTAAAGACCGTTCAGTAGGTACCGCTCTGTTGTCATCAGGTCTTGGCTAAAGGCCGTTCAGCAGGCACTGCTCTGTTGTCATCAGGTCTTGGCTAAAGACCGTTCAGCAGGCACTGCTCTGTTGTCATCAGTTCTTGGCTAAAGACCGTTCAGCAGGCACTGCTCTGTTGTCATCAGGTCTTGGCTAAAGACCGTTCAGCAGGCACTGCTCTGTTGTCATCAGGTCTTGGCTAAAGACCGTTCAGCAGGCACTGCTCTGTTGTCATCAAGTCTTGGCTAAAGACCGTTCAGCAGGTACCGCTCTGTTGTCATCAGGTCTTGGCTAAAGGCCGTTCAGTAGGTACCGCTCTGTTGTCATCAGGTCTTGGCTAAAGACCGTTCAGTAGGTACCGCTCTGTTGTCATCAGGTCTTGGCTAAAGGCCGTTCAGCAGGTACCGCCCTGTTGTCATCAGGTCTTGGCTAAAGGCCGTTCAGTAGGTACCGCTCTGTTGTCATCAGGTCTTGGCTAAAGACCGTTCAGTAGGTACCGCTCTGTTGTCATCAGGTCTTGGCTAAAGGCCGTTCAGCAGGCACTGCTCTGTTGTCATCAGGTCTTGGCTAAAGACCGTTCAGTAGGTACCGCTCTGTTGTCATCAGGTCTTGGCTAAAGGCCGTTCAGCAGGCACTGCTCTGTTGTCATCAGTTCTTGGCTAAAGACCGTTCAGCAGGCACTGCTCTGTTGTCATCAGGTCTTGGCTAAAGACCGTTCAGCAGGCACTGCCCTGTTGTCATCAGTTCTTGGCTAAAGACCGTTCAGCAGGCACTGCTCTGTTGTCATCAGGTCTTGGCTAAAGACCGTTCAGCAGGCACTGCTCTGTTGTCATCAAGTCTTGGCTAAAGACCGTTCAGCAGGCACTTCTCTGTTGTCATCAGGTCTTGGCTAAAGACCGTTCAGCAGGCACTGCCCTGTTGTCATCAGTTCTTGGCTAAAGACCGTTCAGCAGGCACTGCTCTGTTGTCATCAGGTCTTGGCTAAAGACCGTTCAGCAGGCACTGCTCTGTTGTCATCAGTTCTTGGTGATGCAGGTCTCAGACGTTCACCAAGAAACCCACGAGCACGGGTATGGTGCTGACAAACCTAGAAACATAATCGGGGCGAACCGGGATTCGAACCCACAATCATAGGTTTCTGGCGTGCCCATCCAATAAAAACAACAACAAAAACACACCCACCAAAAAACGCAAAAAAAAACCACCAAAAAAACGAAACCAAAACCAAAAAAAACAAACCCACTCGTAATATCAAATCACGGTTACTTATTCATAAACCAACATCGGGCTTCCCTCCCACATCAAGATGACACGCCGTGATATAACTGGAATACTGTTAAACAGCGTTAAACCCAACTCATTCACTCACTCACTCAGTCATACACTTGTTCACTTTTCGAAAATGATATAATAAATAATAATAATAAAATTAATAAATAATAATTAATAATTTTGGAAAATGGTTGAAGGACGAATACTTGATTTAGTGTTGTTATGAAATTATAAATAATATAAACTGAATATTGATGTTTATTCACAGCTTTAGGATTCGTATAAACAGTTTCAATCTAGCATTTTTTCTTTGAGTAGATATTTATTCAAAGACACGATTAGACACCATCCAAGGGGAACGGGTGGCACAGTCGTCTAAGGCACCTCGATAGTTGCGTCCCCTGGGCACGCCAGAAACACGTGATCGTTGGTTGGAATCCCGTTTCTCCTGATTATGTTTAGCTGTTCGTTTAAGGCGCCGCGATTCGCTGTGCAGAGTTGCGTCCCTTGGGCACGCAAGAAACCTATGATTGTGGGTTCGAATCCCGGTTCGCCCCGATTATGTTTCTAGGTGGGTGGGTTACTGGTAATTCTACCCTGACATTGAAGAATGCTTGCTTCTGATTGTTT